CGTGACAAGGCCTTCATCAACATGACCGATGACCTGTGGTTCCCCGTCATGAAAGTCCACCTCCGCAGCACCTACGAGATCACCAAAGCTGCCTGGCCTTACCTGAACAAGCAGAAGTACGGCCGCATCATCAACACCACATCCACCAGCGGTATCTATGGCAACTACGGCCAGTCCAACTACGCTGCGGCGGTAAGTGTGCAACTCCAAAGTCCTCGGGGCTCCGTCATTCGGCGCATTACTGACCTGTGCTGTACTCACAGAAATGCGGTATCATCGGTATCTCCCGCACGCTCGCCCTAGAGGGTGCCAAGAACAACATCTTTGTCAACACTATCGCGCCCAATGCTGGCACCCAGATGACTGCCACAATCATGCCTCCGGAGATGGTTCAGGCCTTTAAGCCTGAGTACATCGCCCCCCTTGTCCTTGCACTTGCCAGCGACAAGGTTCCCAACCCAACGGGTGGCCTTTACGAGGTTGGCAGTGGCTGGATTGGTCAGACAAGGTGGCAGCGCACTGGTGGTGCTGGGTTCCCCCTCGACGTGGAGCTTACCCCTGAGGCTGTCATCAAGGCCTGGCCCAAGATTGTCACATTCGACGAGCGCTCGGACAACCCGTCCAAGGCGCAGGATGCCATGGCCAAGGTTTTTGCCCACATCCAGGCTCAGTCTGGGGCTAGTGCGGCGCCCAAGAAGGAGGCTAAGGCCAAGGTATGAGCACTCCAGTCTCCGTTGACCGCGAATGCCGATTGTGTATATACATATATATCCGCTTCGTAGTGTGGTAGTGATTAAATGACTGACGCTTTGGCAAATTTAATCCGAGCAGAAGCCCGTCCAGGACAGCCAGAAATACCTCGATGCGATTGCCAAGGCCAAGACTGCGAAGTCGAAGCCGACCCAGTTCGACTACACCGATCGTGACAGCATGTTGTACAACCTGGGCATTGGTGCCAAGCGAACCGAGGTCGACTACATCTTCGAGGGTGCCGACAAGTTTCAGGTCCTGCCCACCTTTGGTGTCATTCCACAGTTCGGTGCCGAGATGCCTTTCTCGTTCTCCGACGTTGTGCCCAACTTCAACCCCATGATGCTCTTGCACGGCGAGCAGTACCTGGAGATCAAGAAGTTCCCGATCCCAACTGCGGCCAAGACGAGCAACCACGGCAAGCTCATCGAGGTTGTGGACAAGGGCAACGCCGCCATCCTGAAGAGCAGTGTCACCACTGTCAACTCTGAGACTGGCGAGGAGCTCTTCTACAACGAGAGCACCGTCTTCCTCCGCGGTTGTGGCGGCTTTGGCGGTCCCAACAAGCCCCAGGATCGCGGTGCCGCTACCGCGCCTAATGCTCCCCCCAAGCGTGCCCCCGACGCCGTTGTCGAGAGCACGACAACCGAGGAGCAGGCCGCCGTCTACCGCCTGAGCGGTGACTACAAGTAAGCTCATAGATCATACTACTATTTGTGCGAACGCTTGCTAACATGTCCCCTTTTCTCTCAGCCCGCTCCACGTCGACTACAACTTTGCCAAGGTGGGCGGCTTCGAAGTACCCATCCTCCACGGCCTGTGCTTCATGGGCATTGCGTCCAAGGCTGTGTACGAGAAGTTTGGCGCATTCAAGAACGTCAAGGTTCGCTTTGCCGGCTCAGTATTCCCCGGCCAGACCGTCGTGACTGAGATGTGGAAGGAGGGCAACAAGGTCATCTTCCAGGCCAAGGTCAAGGAGACTGGCAAGCTCGCCATTGCTGCCGCCGCCGCCGAGCTCATCGACGACAAGAACAAGCTATAGGGGAGCTGCTGATTTTGTGTTTTGGGAAAAGCAGATACTTGGATAAATCAGATACCCATGTGGAGGGGGTGGTTCGTCTTCCGCGTGTAATATGTAAACTGCCCGCTGTTATTAGCCTTTAATTGATTTTCTCTCATGTTTAATCAAATACTACTCGATGCTGTTTCCCACCCGTGGTGCTCGTGTCGTAGAGTCGGCGCTAGCCAGGTGGACCGGACTGACTGCCGAGCGAAGGGCCCACCAAAGCGCCCAGGCCCCCTCGTGGCGCGACTTTCAGTCTGCCCTAGTGGACGGACCAACCACCACACCACACGATGCTCGGCTGATCCGCCCAGTCATTCACCACCGTCCAGGCTGTTGGCAAAGTCAGCCAGTCAGTCAAAAGATCCGGCTTCGACATGCCACCGACCGCACGACACGCCTCCAAACCTTTCAAGCACTGCATATCCGCGCCCTTGTGATGCGTCACTGAGGCGCCATCATGTTCCCAGCTCGCACAACGCAGCCCCTGCACACATGCCCGCAACGATGTTTAAGTTCCTAGGACGACAGAACTCGACTCCCTCGCTCAGGCCGGCCGGCCCGGCTCACAAGGGCAGCTCGCCTATACCATCGCCAACGACGACCAACTCTCAGGCAGTAGAGCTGGCTAGCAGCAGCGACAGTAGCCGGCTCTGGCCAGACTACATCTCGGACGAGTCGCAGCTGCAGCCTGTCCGCCCTCTGCCCGCCCACCTCGCCGACCTAAACGGCAGCCTCGGCGTGCTCGCGGCCATATTCCCTGATGTGCAGGTCGAGGTATTCCGCGAGATGCTCTCGAGCTTCTCGGAGGACTCGCGCCTTGCGCTCGTCACCGACCTTCTCCTCAAGAATCCGGGCTTGTACGTTAAGGGTAGAAGGATAGTACTCGGGGCTGGCGCGGGCGATGCTGGCAGGACAGCTGCGACGATGGCCGCGACGGCGACAGGAAACACTCGGAAACACGGAGAGGGAGAGGGAGCACGAGGAGCAGAGCCAGTACTGCCTCGCAACGAGGCATTCCGCGACGATGCGTACAAGGGTGCCGTCCGCGCTCTCGCCACGCAAGAGTTCAAGGGCTTGTCCAGGTCGGCCATACAGGCCGTGCTGTCCGAGAACAACCACTCGTATCTGGATGCCCGGCCGACTCTAGTGGTGCTGTCCTCCAAGTCTTGGAAGTTTGCCATCTCGTCACTGTTTTACCGACGAAAGCCGGTGACGTCGACCGAGGCCAAGACGCACCCCCTGATCATCTGGAAGCCGACAGGGGTGGGTTCCATTGTGCCGACCATCAGGACCACTGGCAATGCCGAGCTCGACCGGGAGCTCTACAACGAGCTCATTGCGCCGATCCGGAGGCAGGAAGAGGTCAAGAGGGAAACTGATGACCACGATCTCGCGCTTACCCTGCACACTGAGGAAGCGACGGCGTGTGGCGCAGTCTACGAGTGCGCCTGTTGCTTCACGGAGTCGACCTTTGAAGAGTTCACGACCTGCAATGTTGAGGGCCATATGATCTGCTTCCAGTGCGTGCAGCACTCAATCAACGAGGCCCTATTCGGTCAGGGTTGGCGGCGCAGCATCAACAAGGAGACTGGAACTCTTCGCTGTCCGGCATTGTCGTCGACGGAGTGCGAGGGCCACGTCGTGTCTGACGACATTTTCCGTGCCGTCAGTCAGCAGAAGAATGGTGTCGAGATCATGCACAAACTCGACCAGCGCCTTGCGGACCACGACCTCGTGGCCAGCGGTGTCAGTCTGATCCGGTGCCCCTTCTGCAGCTACGCAGAGGTGGACGATATCTATGTCCCTGTCGGCTCTCGCAGGCTAAAGTTCCGATCGGCCAACCTGCCAAATGTGATTCTTCTTGCCCTGCTGCCGTTTTGTATCTTCCCGTTCAGTTACATCGTGCTCGCAGTAGTCTCGCCTATAGCAGTATTTTTCCTTAGCGGTTCGGCACGTCTGTACATAGACCATCACCTGCGGCTAGCCTTCAGCCGGCTTCAGCGCCGCAGGCGAGGCCTCAAGTTCAGGTGTCAGAACACTGCGTGCTCCCGCGGGTCCTGTATATCCTGCTCCAAGGCCTGGGTCGACATCCACGTCTGCCACGAGGACTCACTCGTTGCCCTGCGCGTGCAGGTCGAGCAGGCGATGGCGATGGCAGTCAAGCGCGTCTGCCCACGGTGCAACACGTCGTTTGTCAAGAACGGCGGGTGCAACAAGCTCACCTGCCCGTGCGGATACAAGATGTGCTACGTGTGCCGCAAGGATATTGGCGGCGCCGAGGGCGGTTATCAGCACTTCTGCCCGCACTTCCGGCCCGAGGGGGACGGGCGCGAGTGCCACGAGTGCAACAGGTGCAACCTCTGGGAGCAGGAGGACACGACGGCCATCCTGCGCGAGGCAAAGGCCGAGGCCGAGCGCAAGTGGCGCGCGACGGAGAAGCGGCAGCTCTCGGACGCCGAGAAGGCGTACCTCCACGACGCGGTCTCGTCGTCCTCGGTGGGAGGAGGTGGCGGAGCCGGCTCGTCGCTGCAGCAGTCGTTATCAGCCCTGTCGTCTCCGGCCACAGCGTGGGAGCTCCTGTTTCCCGGGGTGAGGCGGATCAGCAGCATTGCGGACTTTGTTGACATCGTGTTTGAAGCGGTCTTTGTGTGAGCAGGGACACGGTCAGACACTGCCGGGGAAGGCATACAATGATTGCGTGACCAAAGAAGGCATATAACATATATTCATACAGGTGTTTTGTTTTGTGGAAGGATGGTTTGGAGTCTGCGCTTGTGTGCTTTTCCTCGCTTGGAGAAACTAGTTGTTCATCAATATACCCCTCTCCTGATTCGTGACAGTCGAGATCTGACATGAGTTTGATAACGAAGCACAGATAGGCTGGAGCTAGAGATATAGAGCTTCAAGGGCCGAACATGTCGTGGTAAAACCAAGTGAAACTAGTCTGCCACAAGCAGTACAATAAGTACACTTTTGAACCGAATATAAAGCGAGTAAAGAGAACAATATGTTATCGAGTACAGAATGCATCAAGTCAAAACAAATGTGTATGGCCATTTCCTTTGAGAGAGAGAAGAAAAAAAAAGAAAAATACCAAACAAAGGTAATTTGACAATTGACAATTGGCTCGCCGTTTGTTGGATTTCGAAAACGAGAAAACAAAAACAAAAAAAGACAAAAGAAAGGGCTCAGCCGGGATTTGAACCCGGGACCTGCTACAACTTCCTTTTGGAGGAATTGGATGTTAGACCACCCGAAGCAGCAATCATACGACTAGACCACTGAGCCGATTGATGAATGCTATAGGTCTTGTTCCAATTCATATAGATTGCCCCATTTGGGCTCGATGACCACCCTAGGATGTATGAGAGCCGGAGCCCGGCTACCGGAAGTCGTCTGCAGACCCCCAAGGTTCGTCATCCGTCAACCTTATAATCACACAACCTGCTGATTGTGACAGTTCCCTTCTTAGTGTACTTTGGTAGGTTTGACAACGTCTAAAGCTCGGCAATTTAGTACAGAGTCTACGGACCTAGAAAGGACGGGGAGAACAAGAATAAGTTGCAGCTTAGAACCTCCCTCAGACAGCTGCCCAGGACAACAGGATGGCCTCGACGACCCCACCGGCTATCATTGACGACAAGTCTCCCATCTGCATACCCTTCATCCTCGAGCGCCTCAGAATACACCTGCAGCAGCAGCAGCAGCAACAACAATATCAAACCGCCTCTGCCCCTGCTACTGTAGCTGGAGATGCAGCAACAGCAGTGGTCAGCGGCCAGAATGGCGACAGAGCGCATAACCACCACCGTGCCACGAGACCGTTCTTCATCGGCCTCAACGGCGTGCAAGGGGTGGGCAAGACGACGCTCGTGAGCGCGCTGGCGGACAGGCTGCAGCACGGCGAGGGTCTTGAGACACTCGTGTGCAGCATCGACGACTTTTACCTGCGCCGCGAGGACCAGCAGCGGCTCGCGGAGGGGGAGCCAGAGAACAAGCTGCTGCAGGTGCGCGGGGAGCCCGGTATGCTTTTCTACTTCTTCGTTTCTTCTGGTTCTTCCTCTTCTCCTTTTCCTCACTTCCGGCCTGGAGCTCGCTGTATCCGTGTCACATGCTATGTGTGCCGCCCAAGCAATATTGTTTACTGGAATATGCCCTCCCTGGTTGTACAGGATAGCACGTGGTGAGGTATCGCGTACATAAGGGGAGACGATTCTTAGCTTGCTGATGCTGGCGATCATGTTCTTCCAGGGACACACGATATGCAACTTGCATCATCCTTCTTCACGGCACTCTGCAGAGGCGAGCCCGTCCGGGTCCCCGAGTACGACAAGTCGGCCTACTCTGGGAAAGGCGACCGGGTTCCCGAGACCGCGTGGGCGAGGACCGTCAACGGACCCGGCACGTCTCCAGTGCAGGTCGTCATCTTTGAGGGCTGGTGCGTCGGCTTCCGCCCGCTGGCCCCCGACGAGGTTATGGCAAAGTACGACAGCCCCGGGACGCGCACGCTCAAGGACCACGCGCCGGAGCACCTACTTCGCGTCAACGAGTCGCTGCGCGCGTACGATGCCGCGGTCACGGACCTCTTTGACGCCTTTATACACGTCGACGCCGAGGACACAGAGTGGGTGTACGACTGGCGGCTGGAGCAGGAGGTCAAGCTCCGGCAGGCCAAGGGCACAGGGATGACGGACGACGAGGTCGTGCGCTTTGTGGATGCGTACTATCCTGCATATGAACTGTTTTGTGGCAAGCTCAGAACTGGTCTCTTTTCTGAGAAGCCCGGAGCACAGCTTCGGATCGTGGTGGGACAGGACAGGAGAGTGAAGCAGACGATCGTGTTGTAACGTCCCAGAAATATCGTATTAGGTTCAAACTTCGGGAATGAGATAGTTCGCTATGCTTTACGTATATGGTTTTCGTGTCCTGGGACTATCAGAGACTCAAGCACATGCTTTGCAGAAACGACGGAGACAAAGAACCAGATAATATCATTCTTGCTCGGCTTAGTCAAAGTCGCGCTTCATCATCACATCTCCATTCTTCTTCATGTCTCCCAAGGTGATGTCAATCCGCGCAATCTTACTGCGTACCGAATCTGCCCTGGCTGCAACTTCGTCTTCGAATTTATCTGCCAGGGCCCGCCTCGCCTGTCGCGCGTCTCTGAAGTTCTTGACAATGTCGGTGAAACGCTCCAAGAACCAGTCTCCCGAGTCCTCCCAATCCCTCACCGACATCTTCATGAAGAAGTCGCCCTGTGTCTCACTGTCCCTGTTGACATAATGACGCAGCTTTTCATCTAGTGTACCTTGCGGGAGTTCAGCTGATAGGGCCTCTGCTTTGGCAGGATCAAAGTCAAAGTCTTGGTTCTGCAGCTTGTCGAACTGCATGGAAGCCAGCGCCTGGTCATCGTAGTCAGGTTCAAGAGTGTGCTTGCTAGCCTGCATGCCCACATTCGTATGACTTGACGATGCCATTCCCATTCCTCTCAAAGCACCACGTGTGTGCTTTCCTGCCGTAGTGTTGTCTCCAAAGAGTTGTCTTTCCACCTCAGGCTTGGGAGCTCCGACTTTTGGAACCCGTGTTGATTTCTTTGGTGTGGGTTCTTGGTCAGGATCATCAGACTCCGTTTCTGCAGGATCTGGAATCGGCGAGTCTATATCAGTGGACTCGGCCTCGCCTTGTACTTCTGTGTATTCTGGACGATGCGGCGCAACCTTTTCTACCCTCGACTCTTGCAGACGGTGGACAGGCACCTTGACGTCAGGCTCATGACGTGGTGCATGATTCCGTGAGGAGGTTGGTGATGCTCGTCTTGGCTTGGTGGCCTGCTGGAGATTCTTCCGTAACGTGATCTGTCGTGGTTGATGTGGTCTCTTGCTGGTCGGACTGTCCCGTTCGGGCGACGAAAAGCCCTGACTGCCCAAGGATACCTGATCAAAGTCGTCTACCACTCTACTGAAGTGGCTGCGACGATCTCGACCGCTCGGGGTCCAGACTGCTGGACGAAGGGTAGGGCTTTCGGCTCTGCCTATCAGGCCATTGTCTCCTATCGTGAAGCGATCTTTGTCCTCGGCTGGGGCCTCGCGTTTCATGCGGTGGATGTGCGAGCTGGCTGAGGTATGACGATTGTGTGCAGGCCCCTGGAGGCTCTGCAGCGGCTGAGTTTGAGGCGGCCGCTGGGTCAGACGTTCACTGATATCAAAGTTGCTAGCCGAGTCGCTAAACATCGAGCCATCGACCGTGGAACCCTCCCAGAACTTTGGCGCTTTGCTTGACGGTGCAAGATTGACGGATGCCGGCCTGCTTGGTATATCTCTGTAGAGGCCACCACCAGGGAACGGCAGTCGTGCAGCGGCGGCCGATGAGGACCTCGTCGCACCTGCACCAACTGGCACTATCCGCGGTGACCCTGGCAGGTTCTCTTTGGCTGGCGGCTCTACGAGCACAGGTCGCAACTGCTGAGGGAATTGCCCTTGAGTGACGGTCTTGTCATCCTCGAACGTTGCTCCGCCAGCTTGGGAGGCTGCTGGCTGGCTGTTGGCCGAAGCTTGGCCCGTCACGAATCGTTGCATTGTGGACGGCATTCCAGCGGTGATGCCCCAGCGCTGCGAGCTGGGTGTCCACCGTGCTGGAAGACTGATATGTGCTGAGCTGGGTTGCGGTAGAGTGCACGGCCTGATCTCTAGGCCTGGCTTCTGCCCGAAGTGTTCTACCAATTAAGACTTGTTCTTTTGGTGTTTGAGTGGAGTGTTGTTGTTGTTTTAAGTGTTTGTGCATTTGGTGGTTGCGTCGCCAATACGCGACAAGAGCGTGTGTCGTGAAGGAAGGTGCCATGCACTGATGGCCAGTGTAAACACTGTATATACACTGTACCACAACGACGATCTTTCGGACTTGCCCAGGTGATGGCCAGTCATTCTCTTGTACATGCGCCGTCTTATTGTCCCTGCGGAATTATTGTCTTGCTCAAGAACACTATGTCGATGCCTACATACATACCGAGCCTGGATTCCCATTGAGGCACCAGGAGCTGCTTCCCAAACAGCTTGTATCCAATTCGGCTGTACCATTGCTCATTTGACACTCAGGACAGCAGCATTGTTGGTGCGTTGCTCTGCCACAGCCCGGAAAGCATGTATGCATTTGCTCTTTTGATTTACTCTTGGCAGCGGATTGCCCTTGGATGTAAACATGGCTTTCAGGAAATCCGGGTTCGACCGAGTCTTGTCCACCTTGGCCTTGTTCTCCCACACGATTGCCGAAGTGCGAACTTTTGAGGCATCATGACCAACTATAACTCATTTGCGTAACAGGCTATGTCTAATGTTATCATCTGGACTATGTAAGTCGAAATTGGTATGAAAAGTTGAACAGGAGGCCGCATTTGTCAGCTCCCTGGCCACTTCCTGGATCGAGGCACCTGTATCTTGCAGATACACAGCTTCCTTAACCCCCCAGATATCAGTCGGGACTCATGGCCAAGACCGAGGAATCATCCTTCAAACGACAAATCTTTGGATATTTCTCGATTTGCTTCTACAGGACTGCCTCACTATCTGACAGTGCATCCAACAAAGACCTGGCTAGATACGCTATACGTGTATTAGGCCCATGTGGTCCCACGTAGCAGCTGCAAGGTGTTAGATCACAGCCAGGTCATTGCGTGTCAAGTAGGCAAGGCGTGCGGGAATCAGGTTTGTCGGCCTTAGGTACGGACTAAAATGTGCCTACCTCGAATATCTAGGCGTGTCTCGTGCCATGCTTGCATTGCTCTGGTGTCTCACGGACGCTTGACAAGATCTTTGTGTAAGTAGCGGTCGGCCTCCGCGGGCAAGCGACTTGACTTGGAGCCCGCCGGCTGTTTCTCGGTTTGTGTGCGACTAGACGTGGGGGTGTCGCCAAAGGTGCCGGCGCGGTTTAGTCAAGTCTAGATGGGTTACCACTTAAAGTACTCTGGCTGTATTCACAAAGCTCTGCACAATGTTTCCAAAGTTTGCAACGAACAAGATTGATCAAACGCAGTAGTTTCTTGTTAGGCCTAGCTTGTTTAATGCATGCTCCTGTTAGCCGTCGCATGTGCAAGACCGGAGGCTTAAATGACAGGACGTTGTATGCGCTTCTAGGATTCGAATGAAGTTGAATGGCTCGAGGTCGGTGGTATACACTGCTCTGCGTACCTATACATCTCCATTCGCTAATGCTTTGCGGATCTATATACAACCCCGATTGAGCCTCCCTACCTCACTTCATGCAGTTCCCGTTACGCCCGAGGACTCCTCAGGAAT